TAATATATTGTTATAATGTGTATAGGGTTTATAGTTACCAAACATCCCACTTGAAGAAGAAGCAGTTTCTAAAAAAAAAAAAAAAAAAGAGAGAGAGAGAGAGACAAAAAAAGAAAGAAAGAGGAAAAGGGGGAAGAAAGTTAATAAGGGAAATTTTTAAAAATGTTTATTAAAATGTATTTCCTGCCTTATGTACATACTTTTTGCCCTTAAATGTAACAGCAATTACCTCAGTTAATCATTCATATATTAAAGACGAGTGAGTCAATGTAAAAACTCACTGAATTAAATGCATATCATATAATATTTCTGTTTTTGTTTTGAAAAAAGCAAATCTGCCAGAGTTCATGAAAGCATTCTTTAAACTAACAAGAAATTATCATCAAGGTCATCATTTGCCTTGATTCTTACAAAATTTGTGTCACGCATTTTGAAGAAAACCACAAGCTGTCATTAAAATGCATAGAAGTTATCCATAAAATCACCAACAATCAGACTGTGATTTTGTTTGTTTGTTTGTTTAATTTAAATGCTGTGTATTAACAAGCATCCTTTGTGCATAAAATGATAGTTTTCCTAAAGTTTTTAAACAAATGGCTTATAGTCACCAGCTACTTAAAACTAAGAATTCACTAATTTTTTTTTAATTAGGTTCAAAATAAATCTTAAATTGGTAACAATTTTAAGTAAAATTCCAAATATGTCATTATTTTCTCACAACAAACTGTTGCTTTAGGCTGTTCTGTAAAAATTATCACCCATTAAATTATCATTTACGATATTGATAATTACAGTTTATCACTCTTGAAAATTTTCTTTCAAATAATTTACTTAAATGTTGTGTTAACTTAAACATTTTCAATTATCATCCGAATTTTTTTATTATGATCATTACATTTAATTTCACATTTTCCTCAAGAATTTTTAAAAGCATATTCATTTAAAAACTATGGTAAAACAGGACACCTGAAACTATATATTTAAATCAGCAAATGGTAGAAAGTTGAAGTTGGATCAACTACAACAGTCTTTGCCCACCTAAAACATAATGCCTCTGAGCTCGTTTACAACTGGCTACTGCTGTTCGCCTCGACACAGGACCTCAGTGGTCTGAATTAAGTCTTTAGAAGTAAAAGACCTATACCAATGGTTGTAGTCTTGGTAAAGGAAGTTGAAAAGCTGCACCAAGTGATGTTAGGAAATGGGACTATGAGAATCAGTGTTCCTGTCTTTCAGTTTCCTGTGGCAGAAATCTGAAGCAAGTGATGTAGGTGGGCTTTCGCTGGAGTGTTCAGCAAAACATAATGATAGAAAAATACACTTGCTGATTTTTATAACTAAATGCTTCTTTTTAGTTAACATTCAAATGTTATTCGTCTTACTTAATTATTACAATAAAGCTAATTATAAGCTACAGTATGGTAACTAAATTACTATTTGATAATTTGCATTAATTAGACATACTTTTATCTATACTTGGAACATTAATGCTTAATTATGAATCTATTCAGTTGTATACTGAAGACAATTCATTATTATTAATAAAATCTAATGTTTTCAAAACATTTATGACAAAATGTGATCTATTATCATTTTGAAGTACTTAAAGAAATGAACATGCTACCTGCTTTTGAAATGCATTTGATAAAACACCAATGATGAATTTTATATTATTGCATGAATGCAAACTGGAAAATAGATAAGTACATCACAATTTATCAACAAAAAGCATTCAAGAATATTTTCCCTGAAAGATGCCTTTAGGGAATGCTTTCAAGGGAAACTGATTTGTAGTCACTCAACCAATGAGAAAAATAAATTATGAAAGCCCTTGGCAGCCCATTAGCATATCAGAAATATATATATGTATGTATGCACATACATAGATATACAGAAATATATACATATGTAGAAGTTCACATTTTTTAACATTAGCCATCAATCACATATTTTGCTACATGAATTAGCAAACATGCTAATATTTTACGAAATTCAAGAATAAAATGATTAACATGAATTAGTGATAAAATTGTTAATGTAAAGGAATTATGTCAAAAGTTTTATTTTATTGGTATGCTTTGACATTATTTGATATCATTAATATACTCATGACATCTTAGACCATGTAGTGTCTACGACATAGTTTTATATAATTTGGAATATTAGTTAAAAACCAATTTATTATCAGAACATAATTTTATAACAGAAATTTTTTTCCATATAATTTGGTACTCTTTTAAAAGAGAACATGCTTTTAAGCCTCATGTGATAGATGAGTTGATACTAGTTTTTCTTCATTCAGTTATTGAAGACAGATGAACTGTTTTTGACAAAATTAAGTCTAAAAGAAACATGAGCTGCCAAAGTACTTTACCTTTGCATTTTACAATTATTAGTTTCTTGTCAATGACTAGATGAAAACTCAAGCACCAACTTCAATTATTTTAATAAGTTTTACATCAGGAACTCAAGGAAAATTTTTGACTTTCACTGCACTTGCAAATTCACAATTTTGCATGCTCTGAAATATCACCATCCTAGGATTATGAGTTTTTTTCACTGATATTCTCATTGTCAAGTTTTATCTATTCATAACTTTTTAATCATTTTGAATCTTTTGCTTTTATGATTTTTGTCATTTCTTTAAAAATTTTAATGCAAAACAATAAATTTTTAAGCTTTCAACACTGTATTTACATCACTCAAATGGCTCACTTAAAACTATTTTAATGCAGACTGTTGACATTACATTTTAAACTCCCCCCTCCAACAAAATCTAAATTCTTTTTTCAACTTAATATTCTTTCTAAAAAAGAATCTTCAAATTTTTTTCTTAATTTTTCTTTTTCTCTGCTTAATTTCAATTGATTATTTGTTAAGATAAATTAACATTCAAACTGTAGATAGTGTATGTGTGTTTGCCTGTCACAACTTCACTGTCACATGTCTGGACCCAGTTGCTACATTAATATTTTAATTAAAAGGTATTAATTGTATATGTAAATATTTGCCTGCATTAACTACAACTACTGAAATTTAGCAGGACTATTATTGTATGTAGAAACCATATTGCATGTAGAAACCACTACATCTGAAAAATCACCAAATTGCTTTTATTTATCTCTTATGTTGTGATATTTATTGGATGCAAAAATGTTCTAATATTGAATATTTTGATTTTGAATAATTTTTTTTGCAAAATACTAAAATATGTCTTTAATGGTAATTTCGTTAAAAATATACACATACTTAGTGTTATCATTTAGAAGTGAAAAGTAAGTGTATGTTTGTAATGAATGCATGTCTGTAATACACTATATTAAAAAATCAAATTTAAATGCATTAAAAACAACAATTGTTACAAGAGGCACTGGGGATTGACACCCATTTACATTGCACAGCATCCAGCTTGCCCTCAAACTGGTTCATGGAGGCATTTTTCTCTTCAAAGAGTCCCTGTCCTTAGACCCATTGATCATCACTTTGACTACTGCAATGAATTTGGAGCATTCCGCTGCATTTTAAACAAAGAACTACATTTTAGGAATGCCAACAAACACTATCCACACTTCTGAGAAAATGATACAAAAAAATATACTCATCAACAAATTATGTAGCTTTTCCCCCCAAGAATAACTGCTAAGGTCAAATTATGAAGGATTAAGAAAACAACAGATATTCATCCATGCTCTGAAGAAAGCAGGTTGACTTTGTTCCAGGAAAACCTGAGACTCAAGTGGTATTTTGACACTAATATGCTTACACTCTTACAATAAAGCACAGAACAACTAGTAATATGTAACTCTTGAGAGGAAGCACTCATTAAAATTTATTTACGACACATTTTTATGTTATTCAGTTATACTCTTACTTATGCAAACTGAAAGTTATATATATGGTTACCTAATTTCTTTGTACTACTTTACACATTTATGCTTGCAATTAATTCCTATTTGAAACTGTCAGTAATTCAGAAAATGCTGATAAACAAGACATTACCTATACACTAAAATTAGCTATAAAGAAATAAAATGCATAATAATTTATGCTAAATGAACTAAAACAACACATCCTTCTTCAAAAACTGCACTTACGTTATAGCTGTGTTCACAGACAAAATAGATGATTTACATTTATATAAATAGTACTGTTATTGTTTTAACTTTAAGAAAGGTGAAGAATGCAGTTTGAGATTCTTTGTCTTTTTTTCTTTACTTTATGAGTATGAATTGAGTCATCAGAAGAGTTTGTTAAATTTTATGATGCTGACAGCATCTAAATAATCCACATTTACTTTATTTTGTATTGCAGCGCATTTCTTTTATTTTGTATCGATATGAACGAAAACTACATTCTTTATTACATACTTTTTTTCATCTAAACAAGTGTTTTTTTTTTTCAACCCTTAGTCCTAAAAGAGCAAAGTTAGACCCCCAATATATGCACATTTTGTCTGTCGCACCTATCATGCAACTTCAAAGTATTAACATCACATAAATATTATAATGTATTTTTTTCCCATACTTGACCAAATTTGCATGCACAGGTAAAAATACAGCATACTTAACCTTCTGACTGCTTATCCTGTCATTTCCACAGGCAACATAAATGTAGCAAAATTTGCTCATCCCATAAAATGATTTTAAATAAATTTGACTCAGTAACTCATGTTTTGTTCAACATATGGGATTGGCTGCTCACTAAATTTCATATACTTGCATAAATTTTGCAAACTGGTGTGTAGATTTCAAATAAGAAATAAAAAAATATGCAGTTTTGGAAGCGATTTGATAAAAAAAAAAATATTGAGCAAAGTTAAGCTCAACACTAGTGTAATAATCTCATTTGAAAAATTTTGTCTTACAGTAACACAAGCAAAAGCCAACAACTAGCTTAGATTACATTATACATACTACACAGAAAAATGCATTCTTTCTTTCAATATTGCAACATGTTACAAAATTATTAATAAAGGCTGAACATTAAAATATGGTGCTTACTTGCAAATTACATCTGAATCCAAATCTTGTTCCATCCAAGCAGTTGCTAAATCATAAGCAGGTTCTACAACTGGCTCCTAGTGAAAAACCAAATGCAACTAATTAAAAATTAACACAGAAAGCTCATAAGGAATAAAAAGATCAGAATGTCTAACCCGTGATTCATAATGAAAACACTGATGTATTACTAAAGTCAGAGCAAATGCAGGAAATGGTTAATTCGAATAAACGCATTTTTTTTTTTTTTTTTTTTTTTTTTTTTTAAGGAAAAAAATTCGAACTTAGTTTTGTATTTATTTCAAATGAAAAAGAGCCACTGAATTCCAAAAGAAAATTTGAAGCAAGTTTTTCTCCTTGTTGAAGTAAAGTTATTGTGCATACCTTTTAGTTTATAACCATTAAACATAATACAAAATACAGAAAATCTACCAGACTGAATTTGAACACATGAAGTAGTATAGACAAAATTCTTGAAAAATGAAAAACAAAATACTGTACAAAGTTGAAAAGTTTAATGAATATGGAAAATATCAAGAAAATTGTTATTAACCATCTGTATTCTCAAAGGTAATCTCCAAACTCCATATACTGTTGGGAAGTTTTGAGGGGAGATAAAGAACATCAGTATCAGCCATATTCAAAGATGAAGGCATGATTGGACATATACCCACAAGAGATACAAGACATGATGATACAACACGAACATAACACAGAAAGAAATGTAAAGTGCTTTACTTGGCGAAACCTAACAAGTGCAAGTGGTAAACATAGAATATAATTTCACAAGACAAAATTCTGACCATTCGCAGGCATGATTAGCACAAATACTACAGGGATGGCCAAACATTTAAAAAATAACAGAAGTTTCTCAAATGTTAGTAGTGGTGATGGTAATTCTTGCCACAAGGTCCAAAATACAACCAAAAAGCATTTAATACTTAAATAATCCTGAAGGTTCCTCAGAAAAAGAAATCAATGATAGATAAATACATGTGGGGACTATGAATAAAGGGCCCCATGCCCAAACCATCAATTCTCAAACATCTAGTGCAAGTACACAAATGGTGTAATGGCTGCAGCCCTGTAGTGTTGAAACCACAACTAGTGATGCATAATCAACAGAATCATCACTCAGTAAATTAGAGTGAGCCTCCTCCAGCTTACATCTGAGTATCCAGTTGAGGTATAAGCCAAATGAACAATCACCCATGTTACTTTGCAGCAAAGCACATGTCTGCAGTACATGATTGCATGTAGGTTCTAAACCATGGTTTCTAGACTATGGTGGGGAATGAAGACCTCTTCATCAAAGAAAGATTTTTCATACATAAACAACTTATGAATAACAGGCCATCCACACTTTCCTGAAGAAGCCACTGCTTAAATGCCACATATTACAGATAACCTCCCTTTTGCAGCAAATGGACATATATTGTTGATGAAAGGGTAGAAAGAAAGCTGCAATATGCCCAACATGCCATATAATAGCTCAAAATACTCTCTCTTTTACAGTGGCAACTACACATATGCTTGTAAAAGGAAATTTTGGTGCATGTTTTGACTTAGTCATACTAAAAAAGAAATGGGACATTATAATAAAAATTCAGATATGGAATATGGCCATAAAATATTGAATTATTCAAAGAATTTTACCACAAAAGTAGATTCAATTTTTTGTTGAAAAATTGTTCAGAGAATCCAAGCAATTTGAATCCAGGCAATATTTCAATGAAAAAGAAAGATATGGTAGTTATCAATTAAAGTTCATTGCCTATAATGATAAGTACCTTGCTTAAAACATTTACAAAATATAATATATAATTCACATATTTAAATAAAAATATTTACACATTAATTGTTAGTTTTCACAAAACCCTCTACAAATCTGTCTAATATTTTAAAACACTTCAGATAGAAAAAAAAATTAATCAGAAAAATAATTCTGATAATCACTAGAGAAAAAAATAGATTTTGTATAACTTTAGTTTCATTAAGAGAGAAAAACATCATTGACCAAGGTTTTTTTTTTTTTTTTTTTTTTTTTTTAAAGTATCAAAATTTTCTTTATAGCATTCCCTTACCCTTGGCACATTATCAGTATTCATTCTTGATTTACATATGAAAGACATTATCTAAATTCAAGTAAATTAAAACCAGAGATTTAAAGATTTACCGAGTTACTGAGAGATGCAATAAAAAATCAGGAATCTTTTAGTTTAATAGCACAGTTGGCAGCTTTAAAATATAACAATTTTCGGAAGTGAAGTCAAAAGAGCATGAACAAAATTAAAATTTCCAACTAACATGAAACGGTTTAAACTCTCTTTGTAACCCCCCCCCAAATAATGGGTTTTAAACAATTTGGTATCATTGGTGCATAATATCATCAAGAAGACAACAGAAGTTTCCATGATTATTTATTCTGTTTGATGATGATATGATTTTAAAAAAGAAAGTGCACCATATTAAAAGTATTCTAATACACAGAGGGGGCACTGCTTTGAAACCAAACCAATTAGATAACTTTTTATGTTCCATAGGTTACCATCTTATCTTTTGGTTTGGTGGGTTTTTTTTTTTGTTTTGTTTTATTAGATTGAGGCAAAGCACTCGAGGGCTATCTGCCAGGGAGGGATGCCTTCGTGGAGGACTTTCTAAGGTAAACTGGCTCATATACACGTTACACATGGGGAAAACCACGAAAACGCCCATGCAGCCAGCCCGTTCGCGGATTCGAACCTCGGACCGAACTACCAGTGTTCAGCGACGTTACCGCTCGGCCGCTGGTGGGCCCTCTTATCTTTTGGAGATGACAGAAGAGAATTACTAAATCTTATTACCAATTATAAATCTTACAAGTTATTACATTCAGTACACTCTTGAATTAAAATGTTTAATTTCTTTTTTCTCAGATTTCAATAACAGATAATGAATTTAATTTAGCACAGTACTTTATTGATAGGTTCTTTTCTTCCTCACACCATCTTAGGACTAATTAAACAAAACAAAAAAAATTTCTAATTTAAGATTTTTATACACTTCATGTTTGCTTATCACAGTCTAATCTTTTCTAGACAGATTTAACTATTTGACAACTGCAGCTTTGCAGACATTTCTCATTTTATTTCTGACAAAGCTTTTATAAATTTATGTACATTTATACACTGCATCTTTGTATTATATATAAAAAAAAAGATGGTTCAGTTTGCTGTTTGTACATTTCGACCTTCTGTTATTTAAGAAAAAATGTCCAAACTTTGACAATAGGTTCAATTTTGAAACTATTTTACCCCTCTAAAAAATGTGTATTTTTGTCAGCATGGTTTAACTTGCATTACTGATGCTAAGAACACCTTGGAATATCATATTACCAAAACTCTAATCTTACATGAGAAAAGGAATCTAAAATGCTACCAAATATTGCCCCTAATTTGCAGTCTTCCTCTAAAGACTTATTTTACATAGCAAAAATATCTAGGAGAAAATCACCACTGAAGCATTAATTAGTGGTGGGCAGAATAATTAGGTAATCTCTTAGGTAACTAGAAGTCAAAATAGTAATGTACATAATTTAGGATTAGTAGAAAAGTACAAATCTATTATCAGAAAAAGAAACAATGTTCCTGAAATGACTGGCATAAAAAGTTAAAACACAATTAAATACTCAAGTTTAAAGTTAAATAATGGTACTCTATATATGTAATGTATTTTATTTATCTGTATGTAATTATATTTATATAATTACATATAGTTATTATTTTATTTCTCAAATATGCAAAGTACTTTATTTCTATTTATGGTACTTTATATATGTAATGTATGTATGATATAAAGTAATCACATATATTTAAATAAATTTAAAAAAAATTAATTAATTAAGAAACACTACGACAGTGGAAATAAAATTGATGTTATTGGAAAAATTAAAGTAAAAGTGTTAACTATCCAATGGGGGGGGGAATTCAAGTACTTGAGTCTTAGCTGTTAATTATAAGCAAAAAATCCAAATTCAGGAAAACATATTTGTCCAGGTCCACATTTCCATATCTTCAGAGTTTGACAGCTAACACACATTATTATCATCTTACAAAGGATTTCCTTTACTGCTGTAACCTCTCCCATCTTTATCAAATTCATTTCATTTTAATATTTCTTCAACAAAGCTTGCATATCAATTATTAGCCCTTTTTACAAAAATTCTTAGAATATTCAAAACCATATATAAGTGCAATGCATAAATAAATTAAGCTTTTTCAGTGTTTGTAAAAAATGATTAATACAGTTAAATCCTGCTACTGTGACCCTGTTTATGATAAATATCTGCATATAAAAAATAAACTTTTTTGCTCCCATCCACTTTCCAAGATACTTAATGTTATTTCATATGGCTATAGCAAATTTACAAATGTATTAAAACTGAACCTATTACACTTTTTTACGAATTTTTGTTAGTTTTTACGTATGCTTGTCATCGTGTGCATGTGTGCGTGTACAATATGCATGTCATTAATTTTTATTCACACAAATTGTAGCACTGAAAATGGTGGATTTGGACAAAAACATAGATGAAATTTTCTTACAATATGCCTCAATCCAGCAGAGAACTGCAGATTTCTTTTGAGCTCAAAAGAAATATGTTATTCATATTTAGTATACTTATATTTTTATGGATTAAATTATTATTAAACACATATTTTAAATGAAGATGTATAATTAGAGGGAGAAGTCTACACCATGACTTTTATAAGCTAAGTCATTTGATATATAAACTTATTAATAGATCGTGAAACCGGAAAACAATAAAAGAGAAATTTTGGGACTGCACATAATATTGAAATTAACCCTCAATATGGTATTTTTTAATTAGAATCATTAGTCACTTCTTTTTGGAAACAAAACAATACTAATCATTCTTTTGTGAATAATCAATCAGTTTTTCTTTATTAGATCAGATATAGTCAATCTAGAATTAACAATTTTGCGAATGTTAAATTATGCTACTATGGTTATTTGTGCATTAGTTAGATAAAAGAAGCCAGAAAATATAATGGCATACAGGAAAAAGATTGAAAAATTCATTTCTTCTTTGGCCAACAACCTACTCTAGTTACATTTCAGTAAATTAAAATATAAAGCCTATCAAAAAATGAGCTTTTACTCATTTTTCAGAATAATCTAAACTGCATACAGCAAAAAGTCACTGGCATGCCTGTGACTGCTCACCTCTCTCTCTGTTCTAAGTTAATCTTAACTATTAATAATTAAGCGAAATATTTTGAACAAACTTATTTAACATTAAAACTCAAAACAAAATGATAAAGTTAATTAAATACCTCAGAAATGCCCCATGCTTGTGATACATCATACGCACCAGATCCCTAAAAACAAACCGTCTTAAAACTGCTGACATTTAGATCCTAGGATACAAAAATGATGAAATACGAAATATTTTAGAAATAACTACAGTTTATGTAATTATACTTACTTTGTCATTTGCAGTTGACAATTCTGACATCAGAGGGAGGTCAAAACTGACACTTTCAACTACAATAAATTTAAGAATATTAAAAGCAAAATTCTAAAATATGCTAAAAATTTACAAGATATTAAAACTCATAATAAAAGAAGCACATTTTGAAACTAACGAGCATCTAGACAGATGTCATTTTGCTTGTCTTAAGAACTACTATCATTCTCATAATTCTTTAACACATATTACACTAAGACAAAATAAAATTTTCAGTCTATATGCAAATTGTTCAAATGTCCCAAAAAGATACAATTTTGCTGGAAGGGCTGGGTTGTTACACTGCAAAATAATTGCTTTTCATACACCTAGTTCAAATTACTTCCTATCAGACTTTCATCTATTTAATTTAATATAGATCAATTGGAAATATTACATACAAAGGGAGTATTGCATTACATATAAGTAGTAGAAATCTATCATTTATGCATTTCATTTTATAAGCAAGTATGCTCTCTGATAAGAAGAAATCTATAAATGAAAATAGGAATACTAATTCATAACAAGGGATTAAACTGAAGAAATGTTAAATGTACCGCCAGTCCTCAACTTATAACAACTTGCTTTCATGACAGACAAACACAAGGGTTTAAAATCCTCTATTTAAAGTTAACCATCCACATATACACACAATTATCATCCAAAGCAATAACAATTACTTACCTGTCATTTTTAATTAATGATACCAATTATAAGTTTCTGTGCTTCCTATTAACTAATAAGAATAGATATGCTAATTCTATAAAACCTGTACATATGCAAATAAATTGTTTATTATATTCTTAAACCTATTTTATATCAAATGAAAGCCTAATTAATGAAAATATTATCAAAGCCATTGCGATATAACATACATCTTGAATTTATGGCAGAATCAAGAAATGATCTGACCTTTCAAACAGCATTTGTCATCTAATTAAGGACTTCCTATATTTTACTATATCAAGTGCAATAATTTTATGAGTAAATTTCTATAATTTATACAGAATCCCAAAATATTATCTAGACAGCTATAACAGTAAAATTTCTTTTCACTACAAATGTATTTCAATATTACATTAGTTCATCCAACTTTTAATTTTTTAAAAATATTCTTGAATCATTCATTATAGAAATGATAAGTTGCCAGTGAAAAGTTAAGGATACCACATACAAGAAACAAATACCTATGATTGCCTAAATTTAACACAATAATATCACATAATTATACTTCTGAAACGTGTCAATACTTTTCTCATATTGAGTGAAATAATGCTAGTAATCAAAATATACTATACTTATTTCATTGAAAAAATTAATATCCTTTAAAACTCATTTATTGAATTTTCCTGTCAGTCTAAAAGGTTAGATGAAAAACACCTAAATACATCTGCTTAACCCATATTGGAACAAAGATATATATTTGCAAACTGTTTACTTGACACCTAGTATCACAGCTCTGTTGCAACCATTGTTCAAGGTTTAATAAAGAACTTTAATCAAGAGCAGAATAAAGTGATGATGGATTTTAAGCAAAATCTGCTTTTTACAATGAACTAGTAAACATCAATCAATCAAGATCTAGCAGTGACTTTGTAGAGTCATTAGGTTAATTGGAAGCAGAAAAGATGAAAAATATGCAACCGCCTTCGCTGGGAATCGAACCACGGACCTCTGGAATACCGGCCCAACGTACTACCATTACACCATGAAGGCACGCTAGGGAAGTGGGAGAAATACCTTATAATTTTTCCATTTCTTGTTGCTTATTACATAAAAAATTAGAATGAGAGTAAAATCATACAAGCAGTCAGGTGTTATCCTAGAGGAAATCACAAGGATGAACAGCAATTTTATTTCAAATAATGACTATCTGGGAATAAATAGAAGAAAATGAAGAAATTTTTATAAATGCATAGTTTTGAAGATGGTAGTTTAATGAGCAATAGCCTACTCTGTGTCAAAACTAGATAAAGGTAGTGAGAAAAAGACCCACTAAAATCACCACTAGAGAAAAGTTTTACGATATACACATATATTAAACCTTTACATTTAATGTACGTGTATACCTTAAAGCTACATTAAACTTTGACATACATACCATGAAACCTTGATATTAAACCAATGACTCAAAACTCAAATTCTGGAAAATAAAAAAAAGGTTTTTCTAGACATTTCCCAAATGACTTTACCTATCTGTAGTTTTTCATTGGATGCACTGCCTTCATTACTTGGATACAACTGAAGATGCATGAATATGATGCAAGGATTCAATATAGTGTTAGATATAATGGCAATATATATATATGTGTGTGGATAATATATGTGTGTGTGTAAAATATAAAACATGAAAGAAACTTAATTGGCAATGGACCTTTAAATAACTAAGTAAAACACCGTTTACATCTGCCCTCTTTCCTTGCAGTATTCCACATTGCTGTGATCTTATATCCAGTCACCATTTAGAACTCAAAAAATTTCTGAGTATATAAATACTTACGTGCACGCTATTTCACCATTTGCACTTTCCTGGTAAATTATGTCTCTTCACTAAGCTACATTTCTGCACTGTTTAAAAAAATGTAACTAATTAGTTTTAAATTGTGGGGAGGGGTGGGGGCAGATTGCTCCAAATGTTCTTTGCCAATGAGATACATTATGCAATAAGTTGTAAGGTTTACCCTAAGTTTTTAACAGTTAATTTTTAGTTAAAGCCACTTTCCTATCTTTCCTAATTTCAGCTTACAATTTCCTGCCAGAACATGTTTTCAGAATCGCGGTTAAATGCAAATTGAAGGAAGAGAGAATATTTAAAGTTGAAGTTCTACTGACTTCATTGAAGAGCCAGAGATTCTAACCAGTGCGTGTTTACCTTTTAAGCTACACTCTCTCTAAGCAATTTCTACGCTCAGCCATATTTCAGGCCCATGATAGTTTCACAGTTTACTTAGCGTTAAGGGGTTAACTCCTGTAGAAATTTAATAGCTTCGGCTATATCTCTTAAGTTTCATTCCTTAGCATTTTTGAGTTCAAACCCAAGTAGAGGCTTTTGCGCATGTCCTGAGAGAGCACCATCTATTAAATTTATTTTGTTCACTAAAGGGTAATTAAACCTTCCTGAGTTCTGTTTTCTGTCTACTGAACTAAAGCGATTATTTGCTTACCAGTTCTCAAGGTTCCGTACATTTAGCTGTAAATTATAGGTTGGAACATGACAAAGTAATGAACAGATGTTGAGATTATCAAGTGATTTTGTGGTTCTTCAAAAGAATTCCAGTTATCTACTATTTCCACAGAGTAATGCTATCTTCTATTGCCATCACGACTGCGACGCAATTGTCTTTTTCATTGTCTAATAAAAAATTTATCATTATATATATACACACAGAGTGTTTCAGCAAATCAATTATAAGCTTTTGGGAGAGATAGAGTACACTTAGATCAGTGATTCTCAACTGGTGGTATGCAAGAGAAAAATAGGTGGTATGCAAAGAAATAAAGTATTTTTAACTATTAAATTCAAAAATTAAATACCCCAACATCCAGTTTAAATTTTTTCTCTAAACCACATAAATTTATGTGCCTGAGCTTTGTTCAATGTCAATAGCTGCTCATAGACTTTAGCAAAGTAATCCGTTTTTATTTTCACAAATATCTTTTTAGCCACAGACATAACAAAATCTGTCATAAATGATGTTTTTTAAAGGAGTAATAGAAATGGATGTTGTATTTAATAGGAAATAAAAATAAGTTCCAATAAAAAGGTAATAGTACCTCATTAATTCTTTTAGAGTTGATCGATTTATAAGCATGCTAACACTTTACTTCAGCAACATTTCTGGGCTCATATTGCTCTATTTTCATTCAGAATTATTTTTATGTCAACTTGCTGTCTCTAACAGCAGGTATTTCGTCCTCTTGCAGCTTTCTATTTCTTACAAAGCAAATTTTGCAGTCCTCCCTTCCCACTATTTGAGAATATCATCGCTTGTTTTTGAAGAACTCGTAATATATTGTGTATTTAAATATTTACACATACAAATAATAATAATAATAATAATAATAATAATAAAACAAACCTGGATCTTAAAAATTAAAAAAATGGCTAGGACTGACTAAGCAGAAAAGTTATGATTCACAGGTGATGGATCCAGAACAATATAATAGCATTAAGAATATGGAGAAGGAAAGAAAAATTGTTTATAGAAAATATTATGAAAGTTATTTATCATTTGAGTTTACTTGGAATAGATCTGAAATGGAGCCTCAACTTCAATGTGTTGCGGTAAACTGTTATCCAATAAAAGTATGAAACCATCGTTTTTTAAAAGACATCTTGAATCAAAGCATGAAAATTTAAAGGATAAATCTGAAGAATATTTTAAGAGGTTACAGTAAACAAGTAATGGATGGTTTTGTTACTTCAAGTGAAAGAGCTTTCGAAGATAGTTACCTAGCAAGCCTAAGAATTGCCAATACTGGGCAGGCTCACGCTCTTGGAGAAAACCCTTATATTACCAGCAGCTAAAAATATCATTTTAACCTTATTCAATGAAAAAGTGGCTAATGAACTTAATAATATTCCATTATCAGATGATACAGTTAAGTCGATTTGATTCATAAAATGGCCAATTCCATAATAGAGACACTTATTCAAAAATAAAACACAGTGAGTATTTTGCATTGAATCTGGATGATAGTTCTTATATAACGAACTTTATTCAATTATTAGTTTAAATACGTTTAGAAGAAGATAAATGAACTGCCGAAGAGTATTTATTTTGGGAATCTCTTCTTGATAGAACAACTCCACATAAAATTTTCAAAGTAATTGATCATTTTGTCTGAGAATGATATTCCTTGAAATAAGTGCATAGCCGTTAGCAGTGACGGAGCTTGGGCTTTAACAGGAAAATGTTCTGGTGTTATTTCTCAAATAAAGAATGTCCCACCTGAAATTAAATTTACTCACTGCTCCATCATCGTAAGCTTTAGTAGCCAAAACTATCCCCGAAAATAGTTTTGAATCAAACAGTGAAAATGGTTAATTTTATTAAAGGCCAAGCTTTAAATTCAAGAGTATTTACGATTTTTTATGCCAAGAGACGGGCAGTGAACTTGAAATGCTTTTGTTATATTCCGAAGTAAGGTGGTCATCCTGAGGCAAAGTTTTAAATCGTCTTTTTGAACTTCGATCAGAAATTCAAATTTTCCTCAGTCATTCAAAATTTGTATTGCAAAATTGTTTATTAAGTAAATTACGATTGACACATTTAGTACATTTAAGTGATATTTTTGGAAAGTTAAATGAATTAAATTTAGGATTACAAGGACAAAGTGTTAATTTGTTTACCATTAGAGATAAAATAAATACAATGATATAAAAAAACTCAAGCTAATAATTAAAGACTTGGCTTAAGCTTTTTACCACTTTTAGAACTTTTTCTAGCTGGAAAAAAAAAAAAAAAAAAAAAAAAAAAAAAAAAGACGACGACGAAGAAGAATTAGCATCCGACAATCAAAATCTTTGTTTTTCCTCTAAATAATTTCAACATGTATTTTTCTGAGGACTGTGAAAAAGAAAATTGGATTAGAAATCCATTTTATTCAAATGTACCTGAAATTTTATCTCGTAAAGAAAAAGAACAAATCAAAGAAATTTCCTGTGATCGAATGCTAACTGAAGATTTCAAAAATAACACACTTGTTAACTTTCGGCTGAACTAAAAAAAAGAAATTTAAAGGCATTTCAAATAAAGCTATTAAATTTTTATTGCCATTTAACACAACTTACTTGTGTAACAAGTTACTTTGTAACTGATTTGCTAAAACAATCTGTACATATAGTTTGATTAACTGGAAGATTAAAAGCTCATTTCTAATCTATGAACAAAATACTAGCTAAAAAAAGATCATAAGATAGTGCACACATTTAAAGGGAAAAACTAGATTTTTAATTCTACATAACAAGAATTAAACTGAAACTTCATTTTAAAAAGTAAAAATGTTATAGAAACTAATAAAACATTTCTTCCATGCTCTGGAATAAATCTACATTTCATGAGAAAAATCTTTGATAAATTAATTTTAAAATACTTTTGCAATCACCTTACTTAATATATTATCAGTTTAATCAGCCTTCTGATTGATGCACTACTCACGTTTAGTTGATTAATTAATTATATGAAACTATTTGACATAAAATGCAGAAAACTTCATACAGACTTTATTAGAATAAATACAATAAGAAATAAAGAAAAAATAATGAAACTGGTGTAAGATAACATTTTAATGATAGGTAACTATTAGAATTTATTTTGAAATCATGACAAATTTTCTAATAACAGCAGAGATGCAAAAATGACTGCCTGGATACACATAAAACTTGTGGCAGTTCATATGATGGAATTTTGGGAGCCAAAGCTCTGTATTACAAAGACATAAGTACACATTTTATAACAGTTTCAACATGATATACCTGTCCCAAATTTCAACATAATATATATACAGTCAAAAGTCGTTAATCCGGACTCGTCAGGACTTCGGCAATTCCGGATTATAGATCATCAGTTTAAATCTGATGCAGAAATTATAAAATTAAAAATATGAAACCGTAATTGATGAAATAAAGAACAATTATGATCTAAAGAGTATCAAAATTTACAAAAAAAAAAAAAAAAAAAAAAAAAAGCTTAATACGAGGGCTATCCAGAAAGTAGATTACGTTTTGGAATAAAAAAATAAACAAAGTATAGGAAACAAATTTTATTATATACAGATGAAAGCCCACACTCAAATACTACTTTTCTACATAGTCACACCATACAAATTAAGGCATTTATCGTAGCGATGTACGAGCTTGGAAATTCCTTCGTCGAAAAAAATTCGGCCGCCTGCGCCTTCAACCACTTCGTTAACCTCTTCTTGCAGCTGTGCGTCGTCATCAAAACGCTGCATAGCCAGCCACTTCTTCATTGCTGGGAATAGGTGGAAGTCGCTCGGTGCCAGGTCGGGACTGTACGGCGGATGAGGAAACAACTCCCACTTAAAAGATTCAAGAACTTTACGAGTGACATTTGCCGTGTGGGGCCGGGCGTTGTCGTGAATCAACAAGATCTTAGAGCTCAACATTCCTCTGCGCTTGTTTTGAATTGCTCTTCTGAGTTTTTGGAGAGTTTGGCAATACCTTTGAGAGTTTATTGTAGTGCCTCTTTCCAGGAAGTCCACCAAAATTACACCTTTTCTTGTCCCAAAAAACAGTCGCCATCATCTTCCTTGCCGACATTGTTTGCATGCTTTCTTGGGTTTTTGGGGAGAACTTGTGTGCCCCCCACTGCATTGATTGCAATTTCGTTTCACAGTTCACATGTTTCAACCCATGTTTCGTCACCAGTAACGATGCGATCGAGTAAAGAGTCACCATCCTTATGGTAAGCGTCCAAAAAGTTCAACGCTGCAGCCATTCGCTGATTTTTGTGGTCCTCTGTCAAGATTTTTGGAATCCATCTTTGCACAAAACTTGTGGTAACCAAGCTTTTCGCTGATGATTTCGTGCAACAAACTTCGCGAAATTTGTGGAAAACTCATAGAAAGTTCCGTTATTGTGAAATTTCGATTTTCACGGACTTTAGCATCGACTTTTTCGAGAAGTTCGGCGGTCACTATGCTGGGTCTCCCCACTTCGATCTTCGTCGTGAACATTGGTTCGGCCATTTTGAAATCTTATGACCCACTGACGCACTCCACCTTCAGTATAATGTTGTCCCCATACACTTCACGAAGCTGCCGATAGATTTCTATCGTTTTACATTTTTGCAGTCAGAAAACCTTATTACTGAGCGCACCTCGCAGCTCGCGGATTTTCAATTAACGCAGACATTTCAAACCGTCACAGTATCTGAACGGAGCACAGCACGGCTAGATGCAGACTGAGCTGCGCAACGCTCTGACCCCAAGATGGCCGCGCTAGCCCCGCCCCTAGCGGACACAGACGGAAACGTAATCTACTTCCTGGATGGCCCTCGTATTTATTTGTTTACTTTATTAAACATTTCTTTCAATGCAAGTTGTTTAAGTTGCTTCGTTTTTTATGTGATAATACATTCTCTTTAATCTATAAACAGACATAATTTTCTTGTTAGTTACAAAGTTCCGCTTTTTAAGTCCTATAATTGCTGTGTGGAGAATAACGACTAATTTGTCAATCGAAATTTTTTCATTTTCAATAACCTCTGTGTCACTTTCTTCACTATGGAAGCAAATTATAATGATGAGGAATTTCATTTAAATCATATCAAAGATGGAGTACATTGAGATGAAATACTACATTTAGTAAAGAATTATAAGCCAAATAAAATAAAAACATCTGCCCTGAAGATAAGGATAGTGCTGACAGATCAACTTCCAATTCATTGTGCGCCGCGGCTTTAAAGATAAACAAAGTTTAGATAAACAAAGGATATGCCTTTATCCATTTTTTGCAGCAATTCCTCTTTTAATTGACTTTGAAACATACTTTCGCTTTGTAGATCCTTTACATATTAGTAAATAATTATCAGAAATTCGATTTGACATAATCGAAAGTTCAAGCTTACTTTTATAAAATTGCTCTAACAGTCTGCAAAAAATAATAAGCGGAATCCAATTCGAAGATTAAGGAACAACGCAATCTGCAACATTAACGGAATTAGATAATTTTAGCTTAGCTTATACTGTCCGTTATACATTAAACGCGCATTCGTAAACGTATTTTGCGGACACGCATATTTGCAGCCGTAAAGGTCTCAGCTGTTCGCAGCCGCAAAGTTACAAACTTTCTCATCTTTTCGTCAAAGCGACGCATGCGCAGAAAGTTTGTAACTTTGAGGTCCGGATTATAGATCATTCCAGATTATGGGTGTCCGAATTAACGACTTTTGACTGTATCACCAAATTTTGCAAATGGACATAACTATGTTACTTGATCTGTTAAAAAACCTCATTATTTAAATTACCAAAATTTTAAAAAAAAAAAAAAAAAAAAAAAAAAAAAACGTAATATTTATTTGTTTACTTTATTAAACATTTCTTTCAGTGTAAGTTGTTTAAGTTGCTTCGTTTCATGTGATAATACTTTCTCTTTAATTCTATAAACAGACATAATTTCTTCTTCAGTTACAAAGTTCCGCTGTTCAAGTCCTATAATTGCTGTGTCGAGAATACCGACTAATTTGTCAATCGAAATTTTTTCGTTTTCAGTAACCTCTGTATCACTTTCTTCACTATTGGATGCAAATTATAATGACGAGGAATTTGATTTAAATCATATCAAAGACGGAGTACATCGAGATAAAATACTACATTTAGTAAGGAATTATAAGCCAAATAAATAAAAACATCTGCCCTGAAGATAAGGATAGTGCTGACAGATCAACTTCCAATTCATTACGCGCTTGAATGAAGTAATAAAGAATGAAGCAATGAATGAAGTAATAAAGCAATTTTTCTCTAAAAATTCAAGTCATGATGTACCTGTTGCAAGTGATTTTAAGGAAACAAAACTTAAAAAAAAATTTTTTTTTAAATTGTAAAAAGTACAGTTAAAAAAACTGACAGTCAATGCAACATTTAATGAACTTACAATTAAGTTCTGATTGAGTTTTCTGCCGACTTCGACCAGACTGCTTTGAAGGTATTCTTTGTGGAACATTCATTAAAACCTAATGGAAAAAAAAAAATTAATGTGATTTTAAATGCTTAAAATAATTTCTGACAGTTGAATTTTATAATTTACAGAATCCCCCTTCTTTTGAAGTATGAGTATGAAGTATATCTGCACTTGGAATTTTAATCCAATCTAAGTTCGAGTATATAAATCTAATAATTGTAATACAATTTCAATTCTTTAAATTTTATTCAATGAAATCAAACCATACTAATTTTAATGTTAAAACTTTAGATTACAATATCACAATCACTGGAAAAAAAACCACAGTACGAGGTAGAATTCAAAAGTTCCTGGACTGAGTCTATAATGTAAAAAATATTATGAACTGAATTGCAGAAACACATCCTCCTTCGAAATAAGACCCTTGTGCAACAACACACTTTTGTTACCGCCTGTAAAGTTCATTGAAAAATGTCTGGAATACATTTTTGGCCATGTTCTTTAATTCAGCCTGCTATGCACATTTAACCCCATTTGAAGATTGAAATCCAACTTCTTTGAATTTCTGTACCCTATTAGAAACAAAAGGTTTCCAGTTGCTTGAAGATCCTTTAATCCAGTATAATACGATTTGCGAATCTGTCTATAAATATATCTGTTGACAAATATGATTAAATAATTTAGTTAGATATTTTGCAATTCTAGCTGCTGTCATCTGCTCCCATCATTCCAATCGGGTAATGTTAAGCTTTTAAGAGGAGTACTCTGGTCTTGATAAATGAAACTCATTTTGATTTCACCAAACTTATTTGTATATCTGAAATATATCACACATCAATATGCGTTACTACTTGCATCACAGAATATGTGTAGTGAAATGTCACTATTTTGCTTATCAACATCTCGAAAGTATTTTCTATCAATCGATATTTCTTTTGAATGAATTATTTCTGCAAGCCATTTCTTAAACTCAATTTCAATATCATTTGGAAGCTGTTCGTCCCAATCAAGACCCTTTATCCGCATCTGTTGTAGTAGGATTTTAACTTTGATCACGAATGGCGATATAAATCCGGTTGGATCATAAATTTTAGCAGTAACTTGGAAATACTGTTCTTTTAGTATATAACACACAAGTAGCTGAAGATAATTCTAAAGATTTTAAATATAGTTTAATAGTATCATTTTCTGTATCCCAATCAAGACCTAAAATTTTAACTTGCGCAAAGGAATCATTCATTGATAAACCGTTTTTTAACTACATGTCTTTTAACTCTTTAGAATTGAATTAAATTTACGTAGATTCATATTCCCGTGTTTTAAGATCGTAACTGCATCAGATCGCAATTGATAGGCCTTTTCTACTGTACTTGTTCCATAATACTAATCGCTGACATATAAAGATGAATTTAACATTTCATAACTTTCAAGATTTTTAGCGATGTATTTTTTAATATGGTGCTTTATTGTGGCTGCTAGAATGAATTGGACTGGTACTAATACCAAATGGTAAACGTGTCAAGTTCATAATTTTGAACGATTCACTGTTGTCATTCTGAAACCAAAGAAAATATTTGCGATCTTCATCGGCAAATACTTATAATTAGAAATGCCTTTTCTATATCAGCGGAAAAAGCGATATCGTGTTCTCGAAATTTAAGAATAACATCTAATATGTTAGGAATTATAAATTACGAAATTTTACACAAAATAAAACCCCAAAGGAATACCTTTGAATGACATTAAATGGAAAAACATTAATTTTGACATTAGAGAAAATGAACGAATAGTCATTGGAGATTAGTAATGCAAAAATTGTGGAAAAACCCCCACAAACGATTTTTCTATCGGCGTTAGAGAGTGCTTCTCTTATCAGAAAAGAATGTTAGTTAGTTCAGTTTATGACGTAGTAAGCAGTGAACCATCGATGCAATCCAGGTTGCTCTGAAAATAAAATCATTAGTTTTGTAGACTGCTGAAGTATTGGCTTCAATTATATTTAAAGTATGACCAGCTCTCTTAAGGAAGTCATTATAATATAAATATAATGTACTTTTTATATCTTGGTGCATCGGCCAGGAAAAAGACGAATATGCTGGTTGTGCTTTGAATAAAGAATTATAGTATAGAACTGTTGCTAACTTTGGAAATATGTGCTGCTATCTTTGGATACCTTGTTCCAAGTAAGATAAATATGAAGATAGTTCAAGGTATGATTTAATATTCACCTTTATGTTAAGAAATGAATCTTATATTGCAAATTACTTTTGTTTTGATTGAACTAATGACTGAACAAGTTGCAAATGACTTCTAACTCCTTTCTTTACGTAATTAAAATCAGAAGAGCAATTTAGTTAAATGAAGATATCAAGTTAGTTTGAAAGCATTGTTAAAAGTGATTTCGAAATGGAAATCACAAAGGCTAAAAGAGCTACGCTTAGATCTCTTACAACAAGATTAATTTCTAAAATCGAAGCTCGAATTTTAGAAAATGAAACATAAGAAGAGTTGGAAGAACTTTCAGAACAGCTAAATTTGGAATTTAAAACAGTTGAAATAAATAGATTCTGAAATTCAAGTCAGATTACCGATGTTAAAGAAATAGAAAACAAAATTATAAAATGTGATGAGTATCATGAAAAATTGATTAATTGCTCATGTAAGTTGCAAGCTGCTATCACTAAATGTAAACCAAACACACAAAGAACATAAAAACCTATTAGTTTGTTAAAATTAGAAAAACAATCTCTTAAATTTCCGTCGTTAATAGTGTGGGATGGCATCGTTCATTATAATTGGATGACGCGACAAGCTGTGAGAATAAATCTTTTACTTTTCCGATGATAGAAGTCAGACGATTCCGCCATTAAGACGATGACACGATTAAAAGATGTTTCAATATAAAAGATGATTCCTTCTCTTCATCTGTAAATAATCTCACCTATTTCCTTCTACGTACGTAATTACTTTGTAGTTAGTAGCAACTATTCATGTTTCATTAAATATTCAAGTTTTTACATAAATCGGACTAGTTTATTAGCCCCTAGACAGCCACCTAAGAAGAAGTTTACAACATCATATTCCTAGACAGAAGTACCGATTCTAAGATTTGGGGCTCGGGCCGGGATGAGCCTAGGAAGAAACATGATGAATATTATAAAAGAAGAGAAGTAAGTTTGGTTTTGATTTCCACATTGTTACTTCTAAGAATAGTGTTCTATGATATTGTGAATTAAGATGACTACCTTAAATTCTATTCCTAGAATTTCAAATTCTTTAAAGACCGGGCCTACTAAAGTCAATTAAACTTTTACATCAAATAGTGTTTCGAACTTTGGGTGATCGAAAAAATAGAGCTAGATTGCGTAACTTTTGTGGTTTTCCATCTGATTTTAATATTGAAGAAACAAAACAAAAATTACTTAAAACTCTACTGCAAATGATTTTATTTTCTGTGTGTAATTTGTTACATCTTAATTATGATTCAAATTCTGATAAAAACTGTGATTTAATATTGAATAGTGTTTGTTATTTTAAGCTTTTAAAATCCGAAAGTGATGACGATGATGAGTTATCTGAAAACGAAAGTGTTTATGATTCTGATAAAAATGAAGATATTAATTCTGTTCGGTCAGAATCACCTCCCTCCCATAAATAACTCAGTGGATGAAAACATTATAATGCATAGCAATATTTCCCTACATTTTCGTGATATCTTAGAAACCATTTCTGAATTTAATGGCACTGATACATATCCAGTTGAATCCTTCATTGGTGATTTAGAAGAATCTTTTAAATTATTTAAGTTATCGGAATTACAGAAAATTGTGTTTGCTAAAAAATTGCTTACTCATTCTGCTAAATAGGTCTTTTGAAGGTATAATATCATGGGACAAATAAAGAAATCTTTTATCTGAATTTGGTTCTAAAATAAACAGTGCACAACTTCATAATTTGTTACAGAAACGACACTTAAAACCTGGTGAATCACTTTCCGAATATTTAATTGCCATGCGTGAAATAGCCAGTTGCGGTTCTGTTGATGATTCATCAATTCTTATTATATAATCAATGGATACCAGATCAGAGTAGTAACAAAATTGTTTTGTATGGGGTGTAAAAGTATTTCTGAATTCAAAGAGAAATTAAAAATTTATGAGAAAACCGCGTTCCAGATACGAAAAATAAGGGTTATTCAAGTACTAAACACAAAAATAAAACACGCGCTGGTACCTAGTAAGATTAAAGAGCCAATGTGTTAAGTTGTGGAAGTTAGGCCATAAGTCGAATTTTTTGTAACAATAAGAGTAAAGGATTTAAGTGTTTTAAATGCGATTTGTTTGGACAAAGCCGTAGATTGTTCGAAAACATCTAAAAATATCGAAGATGCCAAAGCGTTACTCCAATAACTCAGACTTGTCAGAAAGAAATGCATAAAACTGTTAATTTAGGCAATTTGCAAATTGATGCTTTAATAGATACTGGTAGTCAAGTAACGCTAATCCGAGAAGATATACATAAGAAGATAGGTTCTCCTGAACTTAAGTCGGCCGAGCTACAGTTAACAGAATTTGGCAACAAACCTATAGAGAGATTTGAAGGTGAATTCCAAATTGATGGTTCTTTATTTAGATCAAATATTTGTGTTATCGTAGAAAACAAGAAATCTGAGGATGATTCTGAAGAGCAAAAAAATGCTTATTGCAATGGAAATGGTTCTGAAGAAGGATTTGAAAAAGTTGTTAATTATGGTTTTTTACTTTCAAAACCAGAAACTGGTCCTATTAGTATAGTTCCTGTTAAAGTACAGAATGTGATAAAACTGGACACTTCATCTACAATCAAAGCAAGTGGCATTGATTCCCTGATTTTGAATTCTGATGATGTTCCGAGTGATGCAGATTCTGCTGTAAATGAAAATGATGCTATTAAAGATGAATTAATGCAAAAAGGAAACTCAAGCACAATACAATTAGCTCTGAAGCCAACGAGGAGAAAGGCCGCTGCAGAAGGGAGATTCTGAAGAGAAGCATTTTCTAGAAGAAGAGTCATTTGATGAAGTTGATGAATCAAATGCTAATTCAACTAAAACAATTTCAGTAAAATGCCTTGCAATAGAGAAGCAAAAGAAGCCACTGGAGACGAAGAAACTACAGAGACCACCGAAGAAGAAGAGAAGATTGAAAAGCCGAAGTCAGTCAGAAAACCTGATCACAACGACGCTGATACGGAAAGCAAAGACGGAACAAAAGAAATTAAAGAAGGTGAGAAAAAGAAACGAAAAAGCAGATTAAGAAGATCCAGGAAGAAAACCAAAAGGCTTTGATGATGCAATGCCGATTTTAATGATTCCTGATTATAGACTTTTTCCCAAGTTGACAAATTTCTCCCTATTTGACTAATGAACTGTTTTAAGAAGAATGAAGATGAGTCTAAGGATGAAATGTATGAAGGAAGACGGCTTAAATAAGACGATTTTGAGAAGACGCATTCGAATGGCGGATCTTGAAGATATCTAAGACGCATTCAGAAGACGTATCCAGACAATATCTAAGAAGACGCATTCAGAAGATGTATCCGGACGGTATCTAAGAAGACACATTCAGAAGACATATTCAGATTATGTTTAAGAAGACGTAAATACGAAGATGAATTGTTCCAGACAACATCAAAGGAAGATGTGTTTGTAAAATTCATGTATTCAGATAGACTGTTGAAGATGGACGAACACTGAAAGAGCATTTAAGAAGAGCTAACGCCGTTATTTTTGAAGATGTTAAGATGATAAGGGAAGATGGCTGAAATAAATCATTTAAGATGACTTTTCACTCAATAGTAACTAAAAATCTTTTTTTTTTTTTTTTAATTTTATTTTTGAGATCCCTAGATGTAGATGGTGTGCTACGAGAATGCGAGGCCAATTCCATCAGGATGGACGAGCGTTGTGGGATGGCATCGTTCATTATAATCGGATGACGCGACAAGCGTGAGAATAAATCTTTTACTTTTCCGATGATAGAAGTCAGACGATTCTGCCATTAAGACGTTGACGCGATTAAAAGATGTTTGAATATAAAGATGATTCTTCTCTTCATCTGTAAATAATCTCACCTATTTCCTTCTACGTATGTAATTACTTTGTAGTTGTAGCAACTATTCATATTTCATTAAATATTCAAGTTTTACAAAATGGACTAGTTTCAGCCCCTAGACAGCACCTAAGAAGTAAGTACAAACACATTTCCTAACAGTAATACCGATTTACAATATAATAAGATTCGATGGTGATCCCGCCGAATGGCAAAAATTTTGGGATCAGTTTGAATCCCTGATACACAGAAATGAAGATTTATCTAATGTAGACAAATTTAATTACTTACACTCATATTTGAAAGGAGAAGCCACAAATGCAATTAAAGGAATTACACTAACAAATCAAAATTATGAAGCAGCAATAGAAAACTTAAAGAAGAGATTTGGACAAAAAACTTTTGTCATTAATTCTCATTTGAATAAGCTGTTAAATCTAACACCTGTTAGGAAATCAACAGACATCTCTATGCTTAGAGAATTGTTAGATACTTGTCAAAGAGAAGTTCACAATTTAGAAGCCTTAGGGGTAAATCCACTTATAGTTCTCTATTATGTCCCATATTGATTAAATTAATACTGCAAGATATTGTTCTAGAGATCACTAAGAAATGCGGGGTACAGAAGATTGGAAGGTCACGAAAGTAATTAATATTCTAAAAATAGAAGTTGAATTCAGAGAAAAAACATTTTTGACACGCAACAAGTATTCAAATGAACATGAAACGAAATTTCAAACACCATTAGGAAAAACTACTGATCCAAGTGCAAAGTTTCAACACTTTTGTGAAAGGAATTCATAAAAGTACACCATCAGCAGTGGCATTCAATATGACGCAGTTTACATGTATTTTCTGTTTTGCACCACGATTCATTTAAATGCAAAATGTCACCACAAAATAAAATAGGAATTTAAAGGAATACTATACGTTGCTTCAAATGTTTCAAAATGTATCGCATTAGTAAAAACTATCGTTCTAATAAACTTTCTTGTTTCAAGTGCAAAAGCAAAAGTCATCATAAGCCTTTAGAGATACTCCAAACAATAGCCAAAACATTCAAGTAAACAGAAACTATGATTACACTTTCAAAAAACTTCATAAAATTTTAGCATAATAAAACTACAAAAAGATTTCATGATGAAAATGTGTTTATAATGCAAATACACCATCTTTCTTTCATTCCCCCCTGCTCTTTTACAGAGAACATAATGAAATTAAGCCTAGTGTCTTCCTCTGAAAAACATTGAGATAAATGATTTTAAAAGATAAAATTTATTTAAATGGACAAATTCCATGGCTATATAAATCAATCCCACTTTCCTATATGTGATATAGTATCACACAATTACGTTTTGAATCAATTATACTTGTCCAGACAGAACTTGTCCACATCAAAGAATGTACTGCTTCTAGGATATACAAAAACGATGGTACATTATGAGCTGTTCACCCCAGACTTGCATTTTTTATACACTGTTCTGATATATTCCATGGAATAGTTTTCAAAGCAATGAATAATAACAGAGGCATTTTTTTTTTCCTCCTTATAAGAGTGAATGGTACTTTTCCATTTTGCTGCCGCAAATCTCGCCAAACAGACTTAATTGGCGACAACACACAGTACACACATAAAAAATGTTAGTTCAAAAAATTTCTTTAAGGCATAAACATTTTAATATTGTTTAAAATTTTGTTAAAAAAAAAAAAAAAAAAAAAAAAAAAAAAATATAAAGAGACATAATTTGTAAAAAAGACATTAATTAAGAATTTTTTCATTCATGGTAGATAGCGGATCGCGGTCATATCAACGTGACCCCAATCTCTGTAAACTACGTACAAAATATAATTCTCTCAGTATTCAATTATATATATAATATATATATATGCAAAAATATAATTCTCTCAGTAATCTTTCAGTAATAAACATTTCCATGGGGCAAAAATAGTCTTTAAAATTTTTTTACATATTTTCATGATAAAAGCAATTTTAAAAACAATTTTTCTAATAAACAAAGGAATCATTAATTCCTCTTCCAATTACTAAGTATGCAACTTCAATTAGAAAACAGACTAGCAAATTTTATTTAAAACATGCCATTTAATGATTGAAATCCTATCAAATTTGGGTCATTAAATGGGAAATCTGTACAATTCAAAACTTTTGGTTTTAAAAGTATAAAAACATTTTAAATTGTTACTGAAAATTGCCATCATATATGCATTAAAGAAAACATGTTAAAATAGTATTAAAAATTACCCCTTCATCGTCAGGATCCAAGTCTGAAAAATTATGCTGAGGATTGCTAAATTTGTCCAGCAATTCTCGAGCTAAATGTTTGCCAAGATCTCCTTGCAGAAAAGGATGCTAAAAATTATAGAAAAGAAATGCAGTCTAAGCCATAAGTGTTAAGCATATTAACTATTATGAAAATATATTACTTTCCCTGAAAATTTTAAAACTATTGAAAAACATGAGCACACAACGAAGCTTGCGCAATAAGTGTGTCAATACAACCTTGTAACAGATAGCAATTTTGTATGTACAGTTATAGATTTAATTGCAAACTCTGATGTGATGCAGACGGCAAAAACTGCTAAAACTACAAGAAGCGTCAACAAGCTAAGCAACTATAGCAAGTTGCAATAATTGCAAATTTTTAAGTCTATCAACTCCAGCATTAGATCAACAGCTGCTTATGTATGTTTTTAGAATTAATCTGAAGTTGATGTAAAATGATATAATTCTCACAAGTCTTTTACAAGTTCTCTGATGATTTACAATTGTTTCATCAATAATTACGATGCACACAACAAAGTTACAATAAACAAAATATAGAAAAAAAAAACAAAAAATAGTGCTGACTAGTGAAAAAAATCACAATGAAGACTCTTGAATACTTTGTGTAGCAAAAGACCAGGCATCTCTACTTGCAAAAAATACTATACTTATCTTCAAGATTAGGAACACTTCAGCTGATAACATGCCTGCAATGCACTTATCCAAACATCCTGTCTCAAAATTAATAGATAAGAGTCTTCAAAGGCTGTTGAGAGAAATGTGGCTATTTTGTGCAATAATTATGAGACATATACATGCATTTCATAAGTTCTGAGTCTGGTCTTTCGGAGCTCTTTTTCACCCTCTTTTAATTGCTTTTAATCTAATTTTGTTGCATTGGGAAAAATTCTGCCTTATCCTTCTATCAATATTAACTTCTGTCTAGTGCTGTTACAGAAGGAATCTTATTTATTATTTAATACTACATAAGAATAATTTTACAAATTAATGAAAACTTACATGGGCAAATAAACTGATGACTACTAAAATAGTTACTGTATAAAAGAAAGCACACAGCAGAATCGTATTTACTCACAAATAAATTACATGG